TGTCCTTATTCGATCTCACTGTGCTACTTATGCCTTTCACCATTTAAAAAGCTATAAAAATATCGCTATGTGAAATTTGCAATATTTATCATCTCCATTGCTGCTTTAAAATATTGCACAATACTATTGCGTTGTTATGCCATTGTACAAAAAAAAGCATTTACTGAATATTTTTCGTCATTGTCTAACAATAAACAGAATAAAGAACTATTTTTTTTTTTGCAGGACTGGCAAGTCTCTACGCTATGGGCTTAGTCATTGTCACATGGCTGTGGCCCCCAAAGAGATCAACAGTGGATGAATCAGACAAGGAAGCTGTGCATCTTAACCACGTGCAGCTGTAAGAGTGGAATGGTTACAGACTGCAGAAGAGGCTACACATTTACAACTAACCATTGATAGTTTTAATAGAGCATGCAGCCGTGTTTATGTGCTGAGTTGCAGAGTCCAATATTTGTAAATTCTATTAAAAAAAAAAAAAATCCAAGACTCCAGCACTTTGAACAGATGGTGTAGTTTAGTGCACAGACTATGGCAATGTTTCCGTCACTGACCTTTAAATCTCGTTCCCATTACGTGATTCATCACACGACTCTTTAAATTAGTCCATCATACATGGGGTTAATTAAGTAACCCTTTAGTGACATTAAACTTTCTTCATGTATAATAATTGCAATAACGTTGCCAAATTCAAAGGCAAGCAAAATACCATTTAAATCTGTGTATTTTAGGTGTTTTTAAAAATTATTTACAATTAATTAAACAAAGAATTAACAAGTAAAAATCCAGATTTGTAAAAAAAAAAAAAAAAGAAAAAAAATGTACTCCAGTTTTTTTTTGAGTAATGTACTTTAATATACTTCTCTTTAGGAGTAATATGTTACTCTACTTATGACATTAAAAACCAAAGGGACTTTTGATCATCAAGTGGGTTTTGAGCTAACTTTCCCATAAATCTCTGGCCCTATCCAATTTGAAGAAGATTTTAAATTCGCCATTCCCATAATTTTAAAATGTATTTGCCTTTCAGAGCCCACTGCATCCTCCTACTCATAGAATCTGCCCTCTTCGGCCTTTTCGTCACCGTTATTTTTTATGATCAGGTAGGTAATTCATTATTTCGTGAATGAGCATAATTATTATTGTGATAAAATAAGACAGAACTTGCTAATTTGAAATGGCCATGAAAAACATAGTGGTCAGAACTCCAAGTCTATAACCAGTACGTTTTGAATCTGCAGATACATACAGGGCAATCTCAGGTTTTCATTCTTGTAAGGTCAATAAAATGAATACTATTTAGATGGGTAATAGATTTCATACACAACCCAGGGCATGGAAGTTACTATTGAAAGCTGACTGCCCCCTTCTTGGCCAACTGTGCTATTATCATTATTGTTATTATGCTTTATCAGAATCCATATTTTTATTTGAGGCTTGGCTAAATACATTTCAATGCAGTCTGAGACTTCTATAGTAAAAAAATTGTATATTACGCTAATAACATACAGAACTAATCCCAGATCCTGACTCTTGATATGATAATTCTTAGGGGGTGTTATATTTTATATCTCAAGCTACTTTTGGAGCTAAATTCAGTAGCTTGGTGACTAATCGGTTTGTAGAGAATGTTATTCAAAGCTGGATCGGAATATGCCCAAGCAACAACTAACCTTCCCTCTGGGCACCTTGTAATCAAACTCTTCCATATCTTACATTACAGACCTTTCATGTTCACCTACTTTATTGCTTTTGTTTTTTTTCAAGATCGTGTCCATCATTAATGATGAGACTCCCATCGAGCAGCTGAGGAATCGACTCTTAAAAGAAGCACGTAAAGAGGTCACTCACACTCGCAAACCGAAGATGGCTCTGCTCCGGGAAGTGTTTGGCAGAGGTGAGCCTCTCTGCCTCATAGCTGGGCCATAGCTTTGTAGTCTCTTTTTTTTTTTCTTTTTTTTTTGTAAATCTTTTTATTGAGGAATATGCATAATCATCGACAATAACAGAGCAAGACACGCAGGTCTGTGTATATACGTATAAGAATTCAAATCAAACATAAGAATATTAAGCCTTAGGTTGTCGCTACCAAGTTGGTCATGATAGTGTCTATACTTGCCAGTTAGGTGACTGAGCCCAGTTGCCCATTAGTTTACATTCAGCAGGGTATTATAAATGAACATGGGAGGTCTTGTGCACTAGGCCAAATCTCTTGTTATAGTCGTGGTTGGTGAGCAATGAGCATGGAGTATTCCCGGGGTTACTTCTGTCGAGTGTAGCGACTGTCCTATGATAACATTTTGTACCTATTCTGGTAAAAAAATAATAATAATAATAAGGGCACATCTAAGAGCCTGATCATCTGGTTAATGGGCACCGCTAAAGCTGGAGCAATTTTTTTGTTGCATATTTGATTTATTTTTTCTTCTCCTTCTTTTTTCAGGTTATGCCATCTGCTGGTTTTTCCCATGTAACAGTCCCCCAACCTCAGGAGGTCCAGCTTACAGCTACCTTCCCGACTATGATGTTTGACAGCCTGGAGTTGTTTTTTTCCCCTACAACTGTCTACATTCTACTTTAAACTACAGGTCAAAGAAGGGAGACGATGAACAAGTGTTATCAGAACATTCTATTTCCTAACTTTCTCCTCTTTCTACTGGTATTGTATCTGCAAACATTCTGCTGCTGGAAACACTTGGATTTTGCAGTTTATCCTTTTCTAGTTTTTGTTTTTAAATATTTTAACCACTTGGTATTGTCCTCCCCGCACTCTTGCTGATATTGTCCTATGCTCTGCATGATGGACCTGTCTGCTCGTGGTGAGTCTTTGTTTTCATGTCGGTGAATATATAGTCCATCTGAAGACTTAGCTGAGCTGCTTCTTGATATGATTTGTTGGACTGTAATCGGGTCCCTATTTCTGACTCCACATATTTCAAGAGATCTCACTAATATCATCCATAACTGAAGGAAAAGCACCTAGCCTGGGAAATGGCGGTTTGGCAAGGAGTTAGGTCAAACCCTGCTGTTTTAGGCACATGGTATAGAGGTGGCATTAATCTCCCACTACACAATACTATGACAGCATTACGTGGTAAATATATCTCTAAAGACTACTACATGTTTGAGTATAGTTGGTGGCTCCAGTTGTGGTCCCTGCTGTATCACTTTTGTGAGTATGTTTTCCTATTGCACTATACCTTCTGCAGTCTGTTTTGTCTGCTGTTCTACATCTTTTGTAGCTATTTTGATTCCCTTCCAGAAGACTGTGGATATCCTGAAAGTCTATACACAAGGATGGTACATCTGCCCTTATCTGCCATCTCAATATATTCCTCCATAATGTTTAACGTGCAATGATCATTGGTAACAGAACATTGTGCTACTAGAGTAAGCATTGTGTGTGCAATGGATACGTATCAATTGTTTTTATGCCAGGAATTTATTTAATATGTTGGGTCTAGCTGTATAATTTTTGGTTCTACAGTAGTAAATGGATTACTATTCCAAGAATCTTGTGAATTGTAGTATAACAGGATGGAGTACCAAGGTGAAAAATACTTAGTCTTCGATGTTAACAAAGTCGAGAAGACTTTGATGTTTAAAAAAAAAAAAAATCCTTATGCTCCTTTTCCTCTCCCTCCCAAACTGCAGTGTTTCCCATTTTTACTCCATGACCACCTGCCAATCAGGATGCTATGACTTTCTAGTTCAGCCATAGGGTTTTCCATGTAGGAAGCTGACGTTTGAACTACAACTCCCAGAAACGCAGTTACATAAGACAACCTTCCTGTTTTGTTTAGCTCTCGAAAGTGCATATCTTGAATGTCTGTAGCAATTGCAGTAACTAAAAAAATTAGGATCTTTTTTATTTATTTTTAGATTTTTTTTTTTTTTTTTTAATTTTTTTAAAATAAAAAAAAAAATATATATATATATATATATAATATAGTAATAGGGAGCACTCCAGGTCTGAAAAAAAAAAAAAAAAAAAAAAGTTGTTTGTTGTATTTCCATCAAATAACTGTGCAAAATATAAATCAACGTTTCTACCTGTTCGAGTCTTTATCAACATCTTGATTATTTATATATTATATAATCTATGTATAATAAAATGGGTGAAATCCAGCATGGATTTTCAATTTTAAAATTCACGTAAAATTATGCCCAGAGTAATATTGAGTAACCTGATCAATCTTTTGATACGAAGTTGAACATCTTTAATTAGCAATGTTATGGTGCAGGCATCTGGCTTTTAAAGCTCGTGGCAATGATGGCAAATCATAGAAAACCAGGTATCAAGGCATGTACATTGTATTGTTAATAAAAGGCAGTAGATGTATTAAGTTTCATGTTCCCTAAAGAAGATAAGATTTATAATTCGCAACATTGGTTTTGTCCAAATCCTAACCTTTAACTGTGGTTATCATTAATGTTTCTGATTGTTTCTCATTACAATGAGGAATAACTATATTACTACTTACAAATCACGTAAACTGCTTCCGTTTTTTATTTATTTTTTTTGTGCTGGGAAAGCAAGATGTAATGCAATGACTTAAATCCTTTATTGTATGTATATTTGGGTGTATGTGTATGTATAATATTTTGATTCCGCTCGAAAATT